GTCGCCCAGCAAACAGTAGCTGCTTTCCTGGAGTTGTGGCCACACATCATGAAATTCGGACTGTATGGCATCGTTCTTCCCGTCGCAAAGCTGTGCTATGCGCCCCCAATGGCCCCGTTGCACCTTATGTAAGAAGTACGACAGATGTGACAGTGGTTGTCTGCAAGAATGCATCACTTTTATACATCGCCACCATAGGTGGTCCCTCAAGCATTCCAATGTCCTGCGCCTCCATCGGCCCATTTTGGCAGCATATGCCTGTTGTTCCTCCACCGCCATCTCATTGATCTCAGATTCTTTTTTTGACTTCGAGCCTTTGTCCTTTCTAATTTTTTCCTCCAGAATATTCTTCACAAGTGGTTCAAGCCTATCTTGCCCCAGCTGAAGCAATTTCTCTTCCGGTTTGTAGCATCCATTCCACCTTCCAGCAATGGCCTTTGGAAAAAGTGTTTTGACTTCCTTCTTTGCGGACATGGCGCCAAACATTTGGCCCCACGCACAAAACAAGAGCTTGCAGATGTCCCTCAAAACATTTGCGCACGTTGCCAGGCTAGAGTAATAGCCCCATGTTCTGAAGCCTTTCAATGCTTTGTCGGCCGCCTTCAACGTTGATAGCGCCACCAAATGCTGAGAATGTTCGAGGCAGGTTGTTTCCGAAAAGACTGCGTTGGGAAGATCAAACATGTCAGCTTGAATTATGCGACGGGCTCCAATTTCGTTTGATCCTCCATCAGTGGTGGCCAGGTACCAATGGAGTGTGTCGTTCCTGAGCATTCTAAAATGAGTCAAATTTCGGATAAGTCAACAGTCAAAGGTAAAGGATAAAGGTTAAAGCAATTGAACTTATTGAACTTTAGTTGGAACCAGGGAATATGCTTCGATTTCATTGTCTTTCATCTTTCATCGTACTGTTGTTGTTTCCCTGTCCCCAGCAACAATGACAACAAAAGCTGGTGAAGGGGATCACTGAATCACGGGGATGATGATGATGATGATGATGGTGATGATGATGATGATGATATCAATGACATTCCGACATGAAGAAGCCAGAACTGTAGCATAGGCTTATATAACAACTTACCAATTTAATGCAAAAGACCGCTGCAAAGCAATGTTCTTCTGTACATCCTTCCAGGTAATGCAGCCGAGCCCTTCAAGCTGTTTCAAAGTCTGAGAAGCTGTGATCTCTGACGTTGCCCCATGCACTGGCAATACATCTGATACTCTCACATGGCTTTCAAAATGCTCGTCAAAGACAAAGGCATCTGCGCAGTCAAAGTCAAAATCCGAACCAACAAAGCCCTTCTTGGAGTCAATGCCATTGCCAGGGTCAAAAGCAACATTCTCTCGAAGGAATGCCGAATGCAGAATGAGAGCACACACTTTGCCACCCTTCAGAATTCCACTGTTGGTTGCATCCTGTCGCCAGGAATGAAACACAACTTTGTAAGTGCTTCCAACTGCACTACTGGTCAACTCTGTGTAAAGCCAATGAAAATAGATGCGGGATGATGCTATCAGTGCTGCCCCAGCACGCACTTCCTGCCGCGTTACTGTCCAGCGCGAGATAGACTCGAGAAGCATTGCCCCAACATCCGCAGCTGCGCAGTGCCCGTAGTTCCGGCGAATGGCCAAAGCGATTCCACCTTGAACTGTCAATTGCTTTCCTCCTTTTGTGCGCTGAAGCTGCAGAATGTCCAAATTGTTTTTGTCGGTCTTTGCTTTCTTTGCTCTGACAGCCTCATCTTCCAACTTGGCACACCTACTTTCCAACCTGCGAACCTTTTGCTTCAGGAGCCGGTTGGCTCGAGCAGTAGTCTGTTTATATTTCACCAGCAGAGCATCCTTCTTCTTGCATTCCTTGCCAGGAAAACATAACTTAAACACAAGTCAAGCAAACATTGTTGTTGTGTTAAATATACATGTTTCTGAGCTTGATCTTTAGCCTTTAGCACAAACATAGAACTGGTTACCAGTTGGTCGGCAGAGTGCCTGAGAACCGAAAAACAAATGCAATCAAATTCCCAAAATCCTGTATGAAACCACAAAACAGCTGCCAAACTGCAATCGTCCAAGAATCAGACTGGCTTTGCTCTAGCAAATGCTCCAATTCCTGAAGACGTTCTTGTGATGCTTGAGACTGAGACCCAAAGGTTTGCGTCGAACCTGCTCGGCCACTCACCTCTGAGGGAGTTGGTGTGTGGGCGCCTGAACTCCAGCATGTTGAACACTGCCTCGTAGGAATGTTGTTGTTCGATCTTGGAGTCCAAATACTTGAAGAAGCTTGAGAACTGGAGTTTGCCGAGTCATCGGTGAATTTCTGTTCCGCCACAAGTGCATTCAGAATTTGGTGCCATTCAGTGTTGTCCAATGAAAGGCCCATGACCCTTTCAAGAAAGATCGGTATGACCCCAGCATCCAAGCAACCCTCCGCGCAGCGGTACGCATCAGCTTCCCTGGATTGCAGGAACAAAGTTGCTCTTCGGCGAAAATTGGCCAGCGCTGGCATCCAGGGTAATGTCCTATTTCCGAGTAAATGCATGAACCCAAAATTGCGCATCAACACGAAAAAACATCTATTACCTTTTAAGCAATGTTTTTTTCAGCACACAGGTCCTGTCCAATGTGTCAGCCTCCAAAGACCACAACCACTCAAAGTGATCATCGGCCACTGCCAAACCACTTGGTGATTCAGATTTTTTCCCTGCAAGTAGTAGCAGCCGAAGCACTTGATACATGGAACTAAGCACGTCAGGCGACAATAAATGGATTGTTTATTTTTTTGATGTAAAATGTGTTTGGCTACTATAAAGGCCGTGGCTGGGTCATGCAACATGCTAGACACATGCATTCTGGAGATAATGTCCGTAGATTTTTTCACATAACTATGTCAGTTTGTGTTCGTAAGAACCTGATGGCTGCACGGTCTGCTGGGGCCTTTATCTATAAAAAAAACACTCACGCACATATTTTTCAGCAAGTGGTATTGATGGGTGCATTGCCTTTTTCACTGTCAAATGGGTGCTGCCAAACAGCATCTAATGGGGCGGGCGGAGGCCAGCAGAAACATAGGCCCCCTAAGAATTTTGAAAACCTGGCTTCCCGGAGACAGAAACCAAGCGCCGGGAGGCGGGGGGTTCGTTGCCTCCTGGCGCCCGACCTGCTTCACCCCTATAGTGCAATACGCACGTCCCTAGGTACTGTTTGCCAAGACTCTTGACTGTTAAATACTGATGCTGTAAATAATTTGGTTGTTTTGAGTTAGGTTGATTTTTTGCTGATACATTGTAATTGGTTAGCTTTAAATTGCTATTATATAGTTAACTACTTAATGATTGTTGCATAACGCATGGCTTCGGTAGCCCGGAAACTTTTAGATTTATATTTTACAACTGACTCGTGGTTTACTATTGTCATGCGAACATTAATGTATGGGTAACGTAATGTGCTGTACTTTATTGTACTGTAGTGTAATGGAATGCACCGTATTGTCATGCATTGTAATGTATTGTAGTGTGGTGTGTTGCAATGTACTGTAATGTCGTGCAAAGTAATGTGATGTAATGGTGTGCTAGCGTGACGTAATGCAATGGTTTGGTTTGGTGCGTACGCACGTGCGAGAGTGAGTTCACGGGAAGACGGGGGCAAACACGAAGCTTTGGTAAGTCCTTTCGCCATATGCTTGGCACTGTTCTCGCAAGCTTTGCAAGCAGGACCCAAACCGAGAGATCTAGCCTCGTTTGTTTGGGCCGCTTCCATCGGGTACTACTAAGGGAGTTGCCACCGGCTCGCTGGTGCCAGAAGAAGACAAAGAGCAACAGATTCGTCCCTGAGTCACCGGATTGGGGGCATGAAGTCAGGTCTTTTGCCTGCTCAGACTTTGCAGTCTTCTATGATGATTGTGTTTACTGGTGCGAGTTCCATGGCCTCCCGTCAATTACATCACCGGCATCACAACACCCCTCAAACCACTCATTTTTCACTACCAAATGGCCCACCTCTTTTTTTCGCTCTCCCCCACCAGGCTCTGGGTTCACCTCTCCACCTCGCGACCCCCACACCCCTTTACTCACTTCGCCTTGCCTGTCGGCTGGCTTTCGTGACAAGTGTAAAATAGTATAAACAACTGCCAACAAACATGCTGTTATAAAAAGTGTGCAATCATAAACTTAGCTTACTTCCTTCTGAACAGTCTTCTGAACTATTGCAATACAGTAGCAAGCCGGACGTTCTCCTGTACAAACAAAAACCTCTTTCCAGCAAAGAATCAAACAATATTCAATTAACCAACTATTTTAACCAACTATTGTTTCTAAATTGCTCAGTTGGTCTTAATTAGGTTTGTCTTTCTTAGCCAACTTCGAACAACAATCAAGAGATCCAACTTAAATCTTTTGAAAAACATATTTTGGCAAAGGGTACCTCTTACGGGTGCCAATGACATACAATTATATAATATAAACTACTGTCAATCAAAACTTCATTTCATGTTCAACTGTCCCTTAGGTGGCAACAAACAACCGGACTTTCTCCTGCACCATAGTAATCTTCCTTCTGAACTTCTGAACTCTTGTAAAGAAAAACCAAACTTTCTCCTGTGTAATGATAAGCCTGTTTCAAGATTGAAATACCTATACTTGATGTTGATGTACTTTTAATTTCGATTGATTATAGATTATAAACACTAATCAAAAGCTTTCATGATCCGAGGGTCTGAGGTTTATTAGTGCGGTTAGTCTTTTTTTGACGATACAATCTTTGGTCGCACTTTCTTCACGAGGGAGGAGGTTAATTAGGAGGTGAACATTACAGTACAGTACATTACATTTCATACTCATACACACAGACATACACACAAAGAAAGGGACATAAATTTAGTGCATTGGGTGCATCAAGAAGACTTGACTTGTGGACACTGGGCGCTGATAATTCGTCAATTAATGACATGCAGGGGTCTGCCGTGCAATCTATCTCTCACGAACCAGTGCCGAACAAGCTTCCCTTTTCTCGATCGCGTTTGACCCAGACAGGCCAAGCTCCTTGGATCTTTACCATGCACGCGTGACAGTGTAGGGACACCGTTCCCGGCTCTTCAACAAACGGGAAGTTCAAGCTGTCTGTCTTCGCAGTTTCAACCCCCAAACCCCACATCGCATAGGAATGAAGTCATTTCCAAGTGGCCCTCAAAGCAGGGATTACCTCATTCCACTCCAGGAAGCCGGAGAGATCGGCATCATATTGGAAGAAAGCACGTTCTAATGCCTCCCTCTCCTTCTGTGGGAGCCGCTCATACTTCCTTGGTGCAAACTGCTGGAGATCTATCAAGCAGCATGCAGCATGCACATGAAGCATGTCAAAAGCAGTCAAAACATGTCAACGATATCACGCTATTGTGGAAAAAGCGTCTTCTGGGCAATCGTTTCATTGCGCTGCTTGAGAACACTTTCACGGATGCTGTGTATACGTTTGTGCAGAACGGCTTTCATCCTCTTCTTCATCTCTTGCATCGTGAAAATGTCTACCTCGCAATTAAAGGGAAAATGAATGGCCCAAAGGGAGGGATCAGCACATGGGTTGGCATCAACGAGGTCCCATGTGAGGCCCATGGGTCCTCAAAGTTCCGAGGTCCTGGCAAGTTCCATGGATGCCCGTGCGTCGCTGTCATCTGGAGGCTCCACTCTGGAGATACCTCATGTGATCTCTCACGATAAATAGAACTCACCCCCCAAAAAAGCAAAACAACAACAACATGATATCTCTTAGGCAGACAATATTCAACATCTGTCCTGCTTTTGGCCCAGAAACTGGTGGATCCCTTTTTGAGGGATTTCGTGGTGGAAGCTTGCTCTGGTTTGTCCTCTGTGTCGACCAAAGCCATATCTCTAGAGCCTTCCTTTTTGATTTTCCGATCTTCAGCAAGACTGGTGCCTCGGTGCTTCGACTGTTGATGTGCCAGGATTCCCTGGACGGCTTTGCGGGAAAGCTGGCGTTTGTTGGGCCCCTTGGGTGCCCATTTCACCGGCTCTCCAGTGAAGCTCTGGAGCAATTGGCTCCAACATAGAGATTCCGTGGCCTTCAACCCCACCTTGCACTCTTCAAGCCATCGGTTGCTACTCCAAACACTTCGACTAGAGCCACGCAAAGTAGAGATTGAGTGGGTTGGAATTTCCAGTGAAGCTGCTTGAGCTGCCGCACCCTCCAAGCCACCCAACTCGGTCCGGGAAGGCCGATGTTCGGTTCGCCCGACAGGCCCGACAGGTGGCAAGGGAGCGGATGCGGAGGGAGCGGATGAGGGAGCACCATGTCGAGTGGGCTCACCCCGTTGGGGCTCAAGTGTGAGTCCTGGCAGAGCCGTTCCAGGCTGCACTCTGGAAGCCATGGACTCCCATGCTGATAGGAAGGGGGCTAGAACCGCTCACAGCTACACGAGTGAAAGCAAGTGCAAGCTATGCTCTTCAAAGAGAAGTTCCGTGTGCACATGTTCACGTCGTTATGAATGCAGTTCCCACTCCAAGGACCCACGCTCCCCCTTTGACTCTGCAGCACCTCAGCTACTGGCTTGAAGCATTCCAAACGCGTCCAATAGCTTTTGAAGTGTTGCGGTCTTGCGTGGGAACAAAAGCCACGCAATCTCTGCAGTGTGCCTGGCCATATGCGGCAAAGCGACGCTGTGGCGGGGAGGAAGGTTTCAGCTTTGGACTTGCTTTGGCATCCTTGGCTTTTGCCTTCGGAGCCTCGACGAAACTCCAAGGAGTCACGTCTGACTTACAGCACTAACATCAGTGCCTTCGGTTCAGGAAGCTCTTGAGGGGGCTCCTCTACCACGAGTTGCACACTTGCATCAGCTTATTTTTTTAAAACCGAAACGCTCCAAAGAACCTGTCCAACCGTGCTATATCACGAAATTGTGCAGCAGTGTCACCAGGAGTGTTTGGTATGCAGGCGCATCAGGTCCCTCCTCCTTGATGCTGGCTTCAAAAAACGAAGGGCCCTCAAAACAAGCAAGCAGTATGCAACACTCGCTCTTGTTTTACTGAGGCCGTGTAGGTTCATGATAGGTGTGGCAAACTTATGACCATCCAATTTTTCTGTTCTCACAGTCTGGCCGCTCCGACACGCCTGAAGAAAGCCCAGCTGAGAAGGAGGGCAAAGTGCCTGCAAGGAAGCGGTCAAATGAGTCCTACGATGTCCCACCATAGGGAGCGCTGCGCAAACTGCCAAGAGAACAGCGACAGAACTTCCACTCTTGAGTGGACCCCTTTAGCAAGCAGCAGCTTGGTCATTGCCTCTTCTGTTCTGATACGACGATGTATGTGCCAGTATGTAACTTTTGTGACTGCGAAGAGCTGCGATGGGTGGGGGTCAGGCCCACACCACAAAGCCTTTGTGAATCTGCTAGTTCCCTCATCCGGGGTCTTCCGGGTTTTGCCGATCAAGGATTGATTTCTCACTTCGATTCTCGACTCATATCACCTTCGCTGTCTCCTCCCGATTCTTCTCGAACCCGCCCACCACCTGCAAAGAGTTGCACGACAAACCACAACAACAGCAAGCCAACATCACAAATAACCTGCCTTTGAAACGAGAGGAAACATCAAAAGGCTCAGGTGATCTGCAGCGTTCAATCACCTGGATCAACCATGCAATTCTAGATCTAAATCATTCTAAATTGAACAGAGTCAATCTTTAATTCCACATCGCCCACCTTAGCTGCCTGCTTTTTAGGTAACCTGAGCAGTGCAGTGCAGCTGCAGTTGACTTGAAGGAAGCCAGAAATACGGAAACGTGAGAAGTCAGGCGAGGGCTGCTGTGGTGGAGGCACCTGATTCATGCCTGGGAAAATGTCAGGATTACTATGGATTACCCGCCCTGCAGCAATCATGAAAGTGGAAACCCTCTTCGTAGAGGAAAATAGTCTTCCAAAGCATCCAAGGGCCTTTACTGCACTTGGTGATTCTGCTTGGCACACGTTCGAACAAAAGAAACCTTTCGCAGTGCGTAAAGTCGACCCCGCCTGGACCGCCCAGTTCAGAGTCCTCTGGCAAAAAGTCCAATGTGCCCCCCACCTCAAATAGCAAGTATCTCCGGCGCACCACCAGGCTAAATCCAAACCAGTGTATGTGTGCGTGTGTGCGTGTGTGTGTGTGTGTGTGTGACTGCGTGTGTGCGTCTGCACCGTCCATGATCGTCCTGGATACCTGCCCCACCAGAACCATGCGTACCCATCCAGAACCTACCTAAATGTGCAAGATTATCCCCGGAACAACGGAACCGACCAAACAAATCAACCAGCCGTTCTTCAGTTGCGCAAACACTGTTCAAAGAAATCCTCTCAAACACATCTAACACGCAATTTATATACAATCATTAATTCCATTCACCCGTCTCCACATTATGCTTGCAATTCTGCCGACACATGCCGACACCCTTTCCTGAATCAAAACCCGACTCATCTGCGTGTTTGCGCCTGATCTCTTTCTAGCACGCCTTGGATACAATACAACGTGGCTGGACATTGCGTGCAGCGGCGCTGAAATCCTGTACAAGAAGCCGCTTTTGCAAGTTGAGGCTGTGAGATCGAGCATCCACCTTTGGAGTTGCAACCCGCTTTGAGGCATACGAATCCCAATTTGACAGCACATACTCAATGTGTGCAGGATACAATTTCAATGGAGGGGAGCGCAACTGTTTGGCTGCGGGCTTTGAGGAAAACATCGAGTGGGCAAGCCGCTCCACCTCTTCCCGTGAGCGTTTTGGAGCTCGTTCTTGGACCAGGGGGGCCTTCGTGTCCTGAACGCTTGACACGCTTCCTTTGATATTTGTTTTGATCTGCTTGGCCTCGGATGCCTTCCGAAGCCATTCGCTTGTCAGGAGGCCTCTCGGCACAAACCAATGTAGTTAGTCTCAAAGATGTGACTCTCGCTTGGTCTTGGTGCTGGTCTCCTTTCTTTTGTTCCTTCGGACCATCTGCCTTCCATCTGAGCTCAGCCGCGGAGACACACTGCTTGGCAGGCGGCTCTTGAACGACTTGTGTCTCTGGGAAGTCTTCATGCTCTTTCTCGATGTCTTGCATATCATCCGCATTTTGCCTGAGCAAGGCTGGGGCTGGGGTTTGGACTGGTGGTACACATTCCGAAGTATTTGTCCCAAGGTTGGGGGAACGAATCGGTCGTACCTCCACTGATCGACGATGCAAGAGTTCTGCTGCACTCCCTTCCTTTGAAGCAAAAGAATCAGGTTGACAAACATGTGACTGAGGATCTTCTGACTGCTCTTTCTGTGCTCCCACTTGAGCTTCGCAGCCTAAGGCTGGCCTAGACTCCAGGCGAGCACGGAGAGCAGCTGCTTCATTTTGAGCAGTCTTCAAGGCCTCTTGAAGGGTTTCGATTTGTGCGGAGGTGCGGGTTGCGGTGCGAGCTGCCAAGCCTTTAGCCTCACTGAGTTGGATCTGAGCACTCTTGAGACTTTCACGTGCTTCACCCTCAGCTTCCTGCGTCTTTTGGAGCTCATAGAGTTGCCTCTCAGCTCGTAGAGCTTCACTTTGAAGGCGCGTCTCTAGATCTTCTTTTTCCATCCGCAGGGCTTGAAGCTGGGTGCGACACAGCTGCAACTCAAGCCGCAATTCCTCGTAGCCCTTCAAACTGTCTAAATGCATCCGATTTTGCTGTTGCAAATCCTGAAGAGCCAGCCTCTCGTGTTCACGCGTTGCTTTTAAGGACTTCACCTCCTGAAGAAGCGCTTCAACCTCCCTTTGTCTCTCCTTGGCAATTGCCTCGGCTTGCTGAGCCTCCAACTTCGCATCCTGGACAGCTTGTGACTGCTTCTGGATTTGAGCCTCGAAGTCCCAAAGCTGTCCAAGCAGCGCTTGTTTTTGAGCTACAGCAGCTGCGGCAGCCATGCTGTGTCTCTCGGCCTGAATCAGCGCAGAGGAGGCCAGCTCATGCCGCGATTCTGCTTCAGCTGCTGCTCGTTCTGCTGCTTGTTTCTCGGCAACACGCCACTTCACTTCCGCACGGAGGTCATCGTCCTTGGCCCTTGCAGCTGCCAATGCCCGATTTGCACTGGCACACTCATTTTCAGCAGCTGCACTCTCAGCAACGATGCGATCCCTTAAAGCCTCCATCTGCCTGTCAGCTGAAATCCTACATCTACCTAGAAAGTTTGGGCTTGTCTGCTGCCAAAAGGAGTGTCTTAACACACTCCACGGCACTGCATTTGCTGGGCCCACTAATCAGGACTTATGGAACCATGAAGAAGCTGATCAGGCTGCGGGGAAGCTCAGTTCAAGTCAAAGTGATTTACATGTCTAGGCCTTGTTCCAACAGCTCTTGTTTCCATCATGTTCCTCATCCTTCCCAGCTGTGAGGGTCCCTGCCATCAGCCACCTGGCATCAACTAGCGTGTGTCTTTCTCTCACTTCTGTTGCTTGGATGTGGCACCCTTGCCACTGCTCGTCGCTTTTCCTCGTAACGCTCCATCCGCTGGCGCTCAGCCTTGCAGCCCGCAAGGGTCTATGGAACTTCTACAGGCAAAACAGCAACTGAATAATCAAACACACAGAGAGAGAGAGAGAGAGATAGAGAGAGAGGACAAAGAGAAAGGGGGAGAGGGAGGAAGAGGAGGAAGGAGAAAGCCAAAGAGAAAAAGAGCGCGGTAAGGTATACGATTGACTTGCATTGAACAAGCCCCGCCTGCTTTTGCTTCTCCCATTCCTCTACTGCCCTCTTTTTTGCCAATTCTCTGTCATGTCGGGCTGCCTCCACCGGTAAAGTGCGAAGGTGTCAATGAGTTTGCCCTGCACCATCTGCACCGCATGTTTTACTGCTTTGACCAACTGCAAGTGCCGGACTCAACAGCAGCCAGCCGACCGGAAATCTGCTCCGCTCTGTGCAATTGGAAACTCTTGATTATTTAGGGGACTTGCTGAGCCGCTTAGGTGCAATGGGTCTCAAATTGTGGAAATCCTCCCTTGGAGCTGTGGCGCCGGGGGGCTCCAAACAACGAGATGTTCTGCCTCCTCCTTGAGCTTGGCTTCTTCAGCTTCTCTTCGTTGCATCCGTTCCTCAGGGGCTAGAGCATCGCAAGCGACAACGTGTTCAAGCCTATCAGGGCTCCATGTGATTCACTATCACGAGCTCCCTGAGCCTTACCGATCTATGATCTAAGTCATTGGCATACAAAGGGATCTCATTGCTCGGATCATGATGCTGCCTAATCGACAAGACTTGGAAAGTGTAAGGAACCCTTGATGAGTTCTTTTCCAGGCCGCCTCAGAAGGTCCGAGATGACCGAGCAAACCTGCACTTTCACAACCAAGGCACCTCTACCTGAAAGCCTAAAACCCTCAGAGCCTGGAAGACACACTCTTGTCCAGCTGCACGCTCAACCTCACTACTAAACACTTTTTACCAAACTGGCTGGATGCACCTCGATGAATCGCCTCCTCTGCAACCCTCTGGGTGAGGTCCTGCCAAGGATCCTTGGTCAGGTTGCTCACCTGGCTGCAGGCCACTGTCTTTCACCTCTAGCTGCTTTAGCCCTCCACTGGACAGAAACTTCTTCATGTCTTCGTGTTCAAGCCTTGACTAGCAATCTGGGCCTCAGCGATCAAGAAGCCATGTGCGGGAATAAGATTCTAGCGCTGGAATCCATCAAGAATCTAGCGTCTCCATCGGATACAAGCGCCCATAGCTGACCTCAACTGCCAGAACGCAGGAAGGGATGCTATCTGAGGTTTCAATCTTGTCCTGCATGCTCCCGAAGAAGAAGAAGGAGGAGGAGGAGAAGAAGAATTAAAAAAGAAAAAGAAAAACAACAACCTGTCTGTCTATATGACCTGGATAGCAATTCAGAAAGGCTTTTTAGGCTTCAGCTTTTCTTCCTCTGCCCTTGCTTGATTTAAGGCTGCCGAAGCTATGTTGAACATCAGAATCGGAATCAAACAGTACAACCACAACATATCCCCTACGCCCCCACATCTACAAAGTGGCAAATTCCTGGCCTTCAGAGGAATAACCATCGGATGAGGCAGCAGAAATCGCCACAAAGAGACAATTTTGTGTGTGTTCCTTTTTCTTTTCCAGTTCCTGGCAAAGGTGCAGGATGCTGCTGGGAAAAAATGCATGTCTGGATGCAACGATTCCAAAAATCACCAAACCAGTTTTTGCTCTTGCACTGTGTTGGGTCCAGAAATTGCTAGTGCTCTGTAGTGGGCCAATTCTAATTCTTTTTGTTACTAGTAGTAAGGCACTTGTTTCTACTAGCTTCTTGTTACTACTAGTAAGGCACCTGTTACTACTAGCGTGGCACTTGTTTCTACCAGTAATTAAGTCTGAAAGGGTGATGATGAAGCATGATGCACCATCAAGCTAAGCCGTGCTTGTGCCATTTTACTTTGCTGAGCTTCTGCAGGGGCTGACACTCACGCTTACTTCCAACAAAATTGGCGCATGTTTGTGCAGTGTTCAGTTCCACAAACAGAGAGACACATTCAATCCAACAAGCCTCCCGGAGCGAAGGATCATATCGAGAGATCGTTACTGTGCACAAATGCCCCGGTTCCCTGTATGGTGTGTCCTATTGTGTCCTTGTTTCTTGGAGACCCGTTTCCAGTGTCATCAACAAACTGGTTCTTGTATGCTTTAGTTATTAGTCCCGGGTCTGCGGGCTGTCATTTTCCTCCTTGTCTAGCAGAACGGAGACACTTGATAGTTTTTGCTCTGGAAGCTGGTTGCATTCTATGCCATTCATTGTGCGCAGCAAAGGCAAAGGGGATTCTCGGCGACAAGGCGTGCATGCAACATGTGCTAAGCAGTTACAGTTACGGGGTCTTACAGGCGTGTGAGGGTTTGGCTTGAAGCATCTGGGTTGGGCTCCCGCACTTCAAGCTGGGCAGTTGGACCATCAGCACTCCCCGCAGAAAGCCGTACCTCAGAATTCAAGTCTTTCCAAAACATAGGTTCAAGCTTTGCACTACTACAAATGGGGTGCAAGCTACTGTAGAATGGCACAGAGACAACATGTGAAGAAAGACCTTACGCAAAGACATGCTCTGCTTGCCAAGTCTATGAGGTGGCTGCCCGATAGCGTCTCACAGGTGTAGAAGGCCGCTGACCCTGAGCGGCACAAGGCCCGGGACAAATGACGTTCTAGTTCTAGTTCTATACCTATCATTAAGTCTTAATACAGTAATTATGTGCGTAAAACTGGTTGCTTCCACATCCTTCTGCCTTGTCTCGTTCATTCCTGCGCATGCCCACGCCACTTTTTTCTGTTGCCCACTTCGGGCAGCTGAAATGTTGCTGTGCGACCTGCTCAGCACAGTAACAAGTATCTGCGACTGAGCGCCATTTCAAACAGAAAACTCTCGTTGAAGAACGCCAGTCCCTTGAGGAAAGACGAATGATTGAGGTTGGCTTCAGCGAATTGTGTTGTGATCCGGGCTTCAAGTGCTCACCATAGAGCAAATCTCAGTACAGTCCCGAACTGTGTCGGTCGCTGTCATGGCATCAAATCATCACGCCCTTCATGGATCTTCATGGATGTCGGGTAGTGGTTCGAGTTTAGAAGTTTCATGAAGCTGATCCACTTGCTGAAACCATCACTTGAAAAAGTGCGCTTTTAGGCGATCTCTATAACTCTGTCTTGGCAGACTCCATATCAGCGATGGCGAGCAGCAGGAGATACATCACCCTTCCCTTCCTCAAGTCATGGACGTTGAGCTTTGCGTGCATTTCATTTTCGCGAGCACTACAACCACCGATAGAATCATAATGCCAACCTCGACTTTGCAAACAGGCTTCCGCTATGCTATTCAAACTTCGCGATGTCTCCAACCGCTTGAAGGCTTCGAACACCTAAACCAATTGATTTTGCATCATCGAGTCGAGAATCAATTATCGAAAAAAATGCGAAGCAAAAACACCCGTGGTAAGGAGGCAACATCGAACAGAAAATCAAAACAAACTCAGGGCAGCTTTCTTATGCCCCCTTTGTCCACATCACTCCAGGCACCTTCCTGCTGGATGATCGACGAAGCCACTTCATGCGAATCTTCGCCTCCTGTCACAACAACCACTTCGCAGTCCCTCGCCCCACTGACCCACCGATGCCTCGTTGGGAAAAATCTGCAGCAGGAACCTGCCAGATGATGCCAGATGTAAGTCATCAGCAGGCAGCACAAACGACATGAACCGCCACCGTACCCAGATTTGATGAGTTGAGAATAGTTGAGACAGCTTCCCTGGTGACAGCTCGCGGGGATCTTAGCACACAAAAATGAAACATTCTTCTGTTCAAGTGGCTCCGAGTAGTCGACGTGGCCACTCTGATCCGTGTCAAACCTCAGATTCCAAGGCACCTCTTTGCCGAAAAGAACATGTCATCTGAGTTGTGTTCTCTTGCGGCCGAACTTTTTGCAGGAGAGGATCATCGAGAAAAGTGTCATCATTGTGTCCTAGGAGCTGGATGGAACCTAATTACACCAGCATAGACCCAGATAGCTAGGCAGAATCCCACGACCTGTTGACATGCCACTGGCTGGAACAAGAGTGTACGCAGCCTGCCCAGCCAGCTTACCTCCACAGCGCGCACAATCAGCTGACACCAGCACCCGACGCCGCCCGTCTCAAACGCGCGCCCAGCCAGCTCATTCTTACTTGCAGCCAGAACCCCATAGCTATCCCTATTTGGGGAATAACAACGTATGAGCAAAGCCCGTAAGTGTCATTGGCCCACGGCCCAGCATTATCCATCGCCACTATTGACCTTGTAGCATGCTTGAAGCAACGATCTGCAGAACGATCAGGCCGTATGATCTTGCGCGTGCAAGTTTATGCGCACAAAAGCGTGCGCGCAAACGGCAATGCCCGTAGGCTTCACTCGCCCAAGGCCAAGCAGTATCCAGCACGACTTTTGTGTGTGTAGCATGCTGAAGCAATGGTCGGTTGAGAGCCTCACGTTGCGCATAGAACATTATACGTACAAAAGTATGCGCGCAAACAGTGCGGCCCTTGACACAGCTGTCGGCCAAAACAGGACCTGAAGAGTGTAAATACCCCACAGCGCTGATAGACAAAGAACGCTCAAGCGACAACACCGTATGATGTTGCGTGCATAAGTTCATGCGGCCCATGACTGAAGCGGCGCTTGGTCGCCCTTCACTGCTGCAAGCGTCGGTTTGTTACCCTTCACTGTCAGAAGCAACTGTAGTTATCACTTCACTGTCAGAAGCGGGCAGCACCCAGCACCGGTATACCCAGCACCCAGCACACGGTCTCCACCACACGCACAGCCAGCTCACACCACCCAGCACCAGCACCACAGCCCGGCACCGCCCTGTTTCCACCACGCGCACAGCCAGCTCACAGCACCCAGCACCAGCACCACAGCCAGCACCAGCACCCGGCACCGGCACCAGCACCCTGTCTCGAAAGCGAAAAAAATAGCTGTCGAATATGGGGAAAAAATCCTCTTTACCAGGCGCACAGCCAGCACCCAGCGCCGGCACCCGGCACCCAGCACCCGGCACCAGCGCCAGCAACGTGTCGCCACCACGCGCACAGCCAGCTCGCAGCACCAGCACCAGCACCCGGCACCCAGCACCGGCACCCGGCACCAGCAACCTATCCCCACCACGCGCACAGCCAGCTCACAGCACCAGCACCGGCACCCAGCACCGGCTCCCAGCACCAGCACCGGCACCAGCAACCTGTCTCCACCGCGTGCACAGCCAGCTCACCAGCACCGGCGCCCGGCACCCAGCACCAGCACCCAGCACCAGCAACCTGTCTCTAAAGCGCGCACGGGCAACTCATTGTTATTTGAAGTAAGAACTCCATAGCTGTCGCTATCTGGGGAAACATGAACCTATTGCAGTTTGATTGGAGCTGCACGGTTCCAAAGCAGGTCCAAAGTCGCGGGGTGTTAACTTGATGGTGCACAGGCCACAGTTCCTCATGACCTTAGGCCCTGGATGGTCTTCACAAAAGAAACTGCATTCCCCTTTTAAGGCTTCTCCGCTTACGCAGCTCACAATTTTTTCGTTTGAGGATTGAGAAGTCAATGCTGAGTTCGTAGTTGCTTGTCAATGAGAATTCCCTGCAGAATAGAGTTTGTTTGCTCAAAGAGAATCAAGATCATCGGAGAGCAACATAAACTGGGTCGGGAGGTAGTCTAGTATTGCATTATTGCGGTGTCTGGCGGGAGGTCCCACAGATGATATCTGATATATATATATATGCATATTTATACGTTGATTACTATAATGTATTTCTGCAGTCAGTCTCATGAACTGCATCGGACATGCAAAGACGTGAAGGAGAAGCGGTGGGTCCAGGGTACATATATAATATATCTATATCTATATAACTATATAAACTAACACATAAATAGATATATAAACAAACACACACACACATATATATATATATATATACACAGTCACATATCAAAGCACAGCCTAACAAGATCAAGCAAATCAGCAACAAAGAAGAAGACAGTGTACAACTCTACAACAGAAATTAAATTTGAGAAACACATGCATCACTGGCAAACCCTTTGTGACATGTGATGGCCAAGTTGCTCCCCGAACCCCAATTCGCATTTCACTAAACAACCTTGGCCCACACAGGCCAGGAAGCAAAGGTGGAACTGCCAAGAAGGATCCAAACATGGACTTTGAAGCAACTAGAAGCAGGGGCATCGCTACTAGTATATAACAAGGGCATCGCTATTAGAAGCAAGAAGCGGGCCAAAAGTAAAACAAAGGCTAGGCCCGGCACTCCAAGAATTCTGAAAAGTTCAATTGTCCATCGCCATCTTCGTCAACGTATTCAAACAACTGCCGCACCTGAGATGCCATAACAGTCAAGCGATGCAACATTCTGAGGTTTCAAAGTCTCAGTCTTAGATCAAACCGCCTGTTGACCTTTGGGGACGGCTGGAGATGCTCCTTGCGTTTGAAATACTTGCGCCGAACTTAGGTGTGTAATGCAAAAAAAACTAGGGAACTACGACTTCAAAGACAGTGGTAGCCTGCATTGCGCAAACGGGAACAGCACAGCGGAGGCCCTTTCAGTCTGCACCCCTCCAAGCAACATGGACATTGACATTAAACAGCAAGTCTATTTCCACATCCTCCATCTGACTTCAATGGGGATTGCCTAGCACGCATCAGGCCCCCATATCCTGCAGAAGTGGTGCTACACACAAGCCATACGGGTCTGTACAAACAGGAATGGGGCTCTGACCTTCCAGGCCTGTTATCCTGTGGCCATGTTGAATTGCAAAAACATACGGACGGACATCTGTGCTTGGCTCCGGCTGCCAGGGAATCTGGATACAATTCCCGAATAGCCATACAATATCATACAATATATATTATGTCAGAATGGCTCTGCATACTGGAGGATTTGTTTGGAAGTTGCGGCACGTTACACACCATACCCCTGGTAATTCTTAGGTCATCAGCAAGTTGACAATGTGTTTCATGCAGTCCAGGTGGCATCTGCAGCAGCATAGCCCCACTTGAGCAAAGCCTTTTGAATTCGCGATATGCTCAACACCTGGTCGCGCCCCTGCCAGCAAAGGTTGAACTCATTTCCGATGATGCCAACCTGGGTCGAGGAAGGCACCTTTCCAGAGAGCCCTTGGCATGTCGGTCCTTGCTGCATGCGGCTCAGTTGCTGGCATCGCAAGAAATAGCACGCTAGCAATGGTGAGCAGGGACCTCATAAACATAAATATCGACGGAGAATTCTAATCACACGCACAGCAGGTGGTGGTCCATCTCCAAGGCTGCCACATGATGACGTAGCCACCAGCTGATTTGGGCACATAATCACCGTATCCGACAGTTGTCATGGTGACCAGACAAAGCCACAATGAGTGCTGAATGCCTCGTTTTCAATTCACACTCAGGGTCGCATGATCGCTACTACAGGTTGCCTTAAGGACTTGCCAGTACTCAACCTTTTCGGTTGTTCACTTTTTGCAACTCAATTGAAAGCAAGCGGCTCGGAATGTTGCTCCTGTAGGCAAGTCTCAAAAGCATGAACATGTCCAAGTGGTGACTTCACCTTTTAACTCCAGCCTTTCCTGGGGCACTGGTGGCCAATATGCTCTATCACAAGTGGTTTGAACATGCTTGAACTACAGAAACAGTGTGTGATGCACACTGACTATTCAAGACCATACATTATTTACCGATGTGAAGCTGCCTGACCCAACCACTCTCAACTGGAAAGCCTCGGTCGGGTGGACTGATCACAAATACTTGTCACTTCTTTTGGTATAGGTTTTGCCGTGCGCTCCCTCTCTCTCTCTCTGTCTCTCTCCGTCTCCGTCAGCACGATGCATTTAATTTAGAGTATTTTGGAGGCTGGACCCTGACATGTGCGAGGAGATCAGGAATGAACCGAAACGCACATGAAAAAACAACAAACGCCGTGAGTGGGGACTCACTTCCCCAGTGCTGGCATGCCGCAACACATGCAGGTTCTAAAGCAAGTTCAGGCGAGTACATCATGAGAATACTTCGTAGGAATCAGCCAAAACTGATGTGACAAGCAAGGCCTTCATCTCCAAGTTCCAGGACGAAAACGCCAAACAAACTCATCCAAGTTAAGTTGGGTAGTAGCAATTGACATGTGAAATCCCAAGCAAGGTCAAAATTACATGTGTATATAAATATATACATATACATGTATATACTAACGCACCGTACCGTCTATAATTCAAAATGCATCCAATGAAAGACTACTGAATCGTGACAATCTCGAGATATCTCGAGTCACATGGGTCCTAACAAGTCAATGAAAATCAATTGCTGGCATGATCCAAAGCGAGCAGGGAGAGGACGAGTCCCTTGCCATGCGTCTCCCCAAAAGGATAGCAAAGTATAATCCAGCGTGCGCATCATATATGTCCACCATCAGGCTCAATGAAGGGCAACTATGAGTGACCAGTGAACCCCCAAAACAGGTTGTTGCTCTTGCTTCAGTGGCACATACCAGCACGGAACCTGACAAAGCTCTCGGTTGCTGGCTGTCACCTCTGATGTCGAAGAAAAACGGGTTCGAGGGAGGGAACCTGCCTACTGTATCCGGGCCGTGCCATCAATCCCTTTGGCCACAGCTTCCTGTCGATGCCTATGTTCAGAGTTGAAAAAGGATGCCCCAAGCCTTCTTACATCCCAAACCGTTTCAATATGCCCACTGAACGCGTTATTTTCAACAAGCGCACAGTGCAATGAACAATGAAGCAAAACATGCGGATGATTGAAGACGTAATGGGCATTGCAATGTGTTGATGGCTCTGGCTGTCCTCTGACTTGTTCAAGGAGATTCTTATTGCTAGCACGGCACAATGAATCTTCCAAATTGACATTGCGAGTGGGAAGGGGTGCTGGTTGGTGGCAGGAGGGGCCAAAGAAACTAGTACCAATAATTATGAAACTACGCATCTACGCCAACGTATCTCAGTGGACAGTTGCGAGAGTGAGCATGCTTTACACAGTGTTGGTTGCTGGAGGCATGCTTGATCAAGGTCCTCGTCTCTGCCAAATAAAGCGCAAACGTGGATACCAGCACCATCAAGGCCATCCTGCTGCACTGCAATATGGCTGCCACTTTTGCACCAACATAGTGTCAAGTCAGCCAAGGTGCGTGTACATCAGAACAGGCAAGGCGTCAATCCTTGGAACAAGGAAAGGTCTACTGTAGTCTAGTCGCATCTCGCGCACATACTTCCTTGACGCAAAGTCTGGCCGGCTATTCAGCAAACCATTGGCGGTCGACGTCTGATTCGGCAACCAGGCGGTCTGAGGACAGTAGGTAACTATGATTCGGTCACCAAAACCCGTGACTCGGTAACCAAAACCGGCGATTCGGTAACCAGGTAGTGGTAGTGGTAGTAGTAGCATCACAAAACAACCAAGACTGTGCGCGTGTCTCTCTTTTCGCGGTCAGAAGCACACAGACCAACAAAAGCTTTTCTTCGAACCATGCCAAACTAGCATGGCAGAACCCTCAACAAGTTTATCTTCATCTTTCGAACTTACAAATGCTCGTGAAATCTCGTGAAGATGTCGTCAATTTTAAGGGTAAATAAAACGATCAGGAAACTACAATGAAGAAACCAACCGGTTGTTTCCAACCATCTGCGGCAAAAACCGACATAATCTTAAACCCTTTGCAACCACATAGTATCATCTTGGCCATCACCCTGATCAGCCATACGCTGTGAATACAAACATTTTCTTACTTGTGATGTCAAAGCCCTTTGCAACCACATCGAACGTTATTATCTTGGCCATGGTTCCCCCCTAACCCCCCCAAGCTGTAAATACAAACTATTACAAACTAGTTCTTACATGTTCTTACTTGAATGAATGTATATAAAAGCCCTTTGCTCCTGACCCCCCACTCCCCCACCCCACACTCCTCCTGCCCCCCACCCCATTCCAACCATCGTCTGGCTTAGTTTCGGAACAGTCCGACTTGGTTTCTGAATTGGCTGTTTTGGTTTCTGAATCGGCTGACTTGGATTCTGAATCGGCTGTTTTGGTTTCTGAATCTTAGTTTCCTGATCGGTTGGTTTCTGAATCGGCTAATGTCCACCATTGGCCGTCAGGCTCCAAATGCATCCAATGAGCGATTTTCTGAAGGCATCCTTGGCTCCAACAAGTCATGACAGCTAAACACATTCCTGATATTTCCTGATCAAAAGCAACAAACAGTTGTTCAGTTGTTCACTATACAAGCGTCCTATAATATGCCCTGTGCATTCTGCGCATCATGTTGAATCATGTTGGTATCTTGCCTCTTCAATATCATTTTCCATCATTTTCCCAAGGTTCGAATAAAAGCCGAATGGTTTCGAAGTATCTCAAGAGCTTGAGAAAGCGGACCAGTGGAAGAACAAACAGCAAGATGGCCTCAGTGAGAAGACGAACAATGCACAGAGATTCGCGTCGTTTGCTTCACATTGATCAAGTCAACTGGCGATTTAACTGGCGATCTGACCTTATCACAGTGGTCGTCTAATACTTAAGTCATTGTAAGGCTTAAAGGGTGGTCTTAAAGACAGTACAGGTGGGGTCGGGCGACAAGAAACTCCCTCGCACCCCCTCCTCCAGTCTATGCAGCTAGAGTTGTTGTGTAGACCCAAGTTACTGTTATTGCGTCTCATTCTGCTTGTTGTACTTGCTAGTGCCGCATCAGCCAGTCCCAATGAGCACTCCAGCCAGTATTGAGTCCAATGAAAACGACACCCCCTTCACGGATCGGGAATTGCATGGATAAACACGCTGGTAAGGAAACTTGTGGCGAGAAATGGGTAACTCATGGGGGATGATCTTGGAAAGCGATACATCCGCTGCACAAGTCTTCAGTGAACGTTAGTACAAACATCCAATGGACTCTCGCCATCCTGACACATCCTTCCTACCTGAAAAGGTTCCGGCAAGCGGCTTGGATGGCTTCTTTTGCCTTAGTGCGAAGTCCCAAACTTGAACTTCAAGCATGCAGCCACACGCTGCAGAAATCTAATCATGGAATTGTATCACTTCCTGACAGCGAGCTGCGGGGTCTGCGGATTCTTCAATGACCAATCCGATACTCACCTAGGTGCAACAAATACTTGATCAGGTCAGCCTGGAAAGAAGAAAACACACAAAGTCAAGTTGATCTGCCTACAGTTGCAGCTTCGCGACGCGTAGAGGAAGTCCTATGGCTGACGCAACGTCTGCCCAGTTCACAGGATCCTTTATGTACTCTCTCTTCGAAGGTGCCGAGAAAATCCGGCAAAGGAACCTTAAAGGCAAATACACCTCGTCTCCACTTCTGATGTAATTACAATATCTCCACACAAAATCAGAAGCTCCAAGCTCGGAAAAGGAGCTCGAAAAGGAAAATCACGTCGAAGGCTGTTTCCAACAAAGCAGCGGCAAGCCCATCAATGATGATCGGCTCCTGAGTGCGAATGTAGCACACAGGACCAAGGGTGTGCACAAGTGTCCGGAAAGGCCAAAAGCCTCACAAATCCGGTCCTGACTGAGCTGCAGGATTGTCACTGCAACACTCAAGGTGACAAGGACCTGTGCCAATTAATTGCACGTTCGAAAATGACGGCGGCTGGCAGCATGCACCACTTTCCTTAATCAGTTTTTACATGTATTTAAATAATGCCTTTTCAAAGTGTTTCCATTCAACCCTTTGCAGGCATGCAACCTTCAGTAGTTGCGAGATCCACCAAGCAAATCCTCACGTGATGCGAAAGCACTCCATCCTTGTTGGCTAATGTGTACAAGCAGGAGTAGACTAGTGCTAGAGCAGTCCTAACTAGTAGACACTTTGTCCACTTATTCTTCACTTATATATATCATGCGTATGTACAGTATATATAATATATAATAATATATACTATATACACTTGTTGGTACAGCGCACTCATCAGTCTGACCACGGAAACGACTGCTGCATCTAAGAGTCGGCTCGAGCCTGGATCCTCCAGCAGTTCCCAAACAGCATTGCAGCGGCTGCGATCTGAGATGTTGGATCCGCAGTCAGTCAGTCATGATCTGGCAACATATGGCATGACATACAGTCCAACCATGTACACACCCAAACTAGGAAAAGTAATCGAAACATGGGAAGAGGTGGCGGTTGCCCAAAGCAAGTGAGTTTAGGGACGACTGAGTGGTGGGTGTAGGACCAAGTTGGAGCCCAACAAGTTCAAAATATGGACTGTTCGGCTGTCAGTCAAGGTGCGCAAAAGGCGGTGCATTGGCCGCTCATGTTCTGGCAAGTCATCCTGAAAGCGCTCATGATCAAGCTGACCCTGCTTCTCAACTTTCCAAATCACTCCTCCTCCTACCTTTCAGACTCTCCAACGCACTCAACACAGAACAGCCCATCTGTTTGTTCGAGCCCTTGGCTGTATATTGTGGCATGCTAGGCCAGCTTCTTTGCAGCCGTGCGACCGTGGCAAGCGCCTGCGTCAAGTGCGATACCAATCGGAGATCCACACTGCGAGCCTCAGAGTAGGTCCAAGCAGCACCAAAGTAGCCTTCTTGACTTGGCATTCCAATGTCAGCATAGTTTTGTGAACGGGCATCATCCATCATCGTTCCATATCGGTCCACCAAATTAGCTTGCTCTATAGATCCCAAACACCCCTGGAGCCAGTGTTTCATCATAACACTCTTCCTGCTGCCCCCCCGCCCCAAAACAAGTATGTGAGCAAGCAATGGTCTTGCCTTGCCAGTTTGGAAAAAGTTGGAGTTTCATGAGGAACTTCCCTGAAATCACGGTGCCAAAAGCGATATCACTTTGCTCGCCTGGCCAGGAAAGTTCGCCTTGACTGACTTGAATTCACCATGGGTGCATAATGATTCACGTGTTGTTCATGCGAGATGCCTAGTGTTAATGCATTACATACAGTAGTTATCTTGCAAGTTCGTTAGCAGTACCAACCTCCCTTTCACGCTTGTTACATACCCATCCCGCCATACTATACCTGCTCCACATAGTTTCCGAAATGGAGTCTAATCCGTTGTGCTGGCGAGGGGTGCGCAGGAAGTGACGTCGTGTGACGTCGTGTGCATGAGGGTGAGCCCCCCTCGTCGATTGAGCTACCAAGGATCTGGTCCAGCATTCCGGTTCGGACGGATGGGCACTCCCTCAGGGCAGGAAATTGAGGTGAGCTGGGCTAGGAAACACAAGTAGGGAGGAGTAGAGAAGCCAAGAGTCGGCCTGCAACGGAAGGCTTGCTTTATCACGAGGACTTATAGGACTTTCATCAGATGCTGGAAGCACCTTGCGGCCACAGAGTGGATGAGGTCGTGTACAATCTTTACTTTACTTTTGAATTCAACAATGAGATTGGGCAGCCGGCTCCAGATAGGGATCGGCTGTCAGCTAGGTCTGCTGAGGCTGCCTTGGCTAGGCAGTTTCATGGTGTGTTTCACTTTACCTTGCAAACAAGCAGCGGGATCATAAACAGCAAAAGGAAGGTGCCGCCGCAATGACGTAGACGTGGTTGGTGCCTTGGTAAAGGTGGCATACAGGCATACACTGATTAATATCCATTCGCATTGGGCTTGGATCCTGGCCAGGTCTCCTGCCAAATTACACGGGCACGCAAGCAAGCCCAGGAAAACAAATACATACATACAGACATACATTACATTACATTACATTACGGAACATACAGAACATACATAACATACATTACATACATAACATATCAAAACATATCATAACATATCATAACATTACATAACATTACATAACATTACATAACATTACATACATACATACATTACCATACCATACCATACCATACCATACATTACCAGACCATACCATACCATACAGTACCATTACATTACATTACCTACATCCATGCATGCATGCATGCATACAATTACGTTACATTGCAATTCATTACATTGCCTTACATACCATTAGTACTTACATGGACACACATGCATACATACATGACATGGCATGACATTACATTAATAATTACATACAATTACAGTACATTATGCTACATAGCATTACATTACATAATTACAATATTACGTTACATGACATTGCATTATTTACATTACATGACATTCCATTACATTACATTACATTACATACGCAACTACAAGCGAACACCCACGGCTGTACATATCAGGGGCCAGGGCCTGTACTTTCGGTACGCACTTTGGGTATGTGCTCGCATTCCAAGAGAAATAAGGGTGACAGTTGCATACACTGTATTGCCTTTAGAGTTGCAATGGATGGTCCAGTAGCCAAAGGGTCCTTGTACTTTGCTCGTCGGCTCCCCTGGCAGTCTCAAGACCTTGTTGCGTGAGATCTCTGCGAGGCAAGCGTCCACCTCCATTGACGGAAATGGAGCACATGGGAGCATGTCAACTTGCAACGACCGTTATTGCACAATCGCAAAAAACAAAGCGAAACTCATGTGACTTCTCAGAATCTTCCTGGCTGTGCCTGCTCTGAAATGCGGTCAAGGCGAGCTTCAATTCGATGAGAAATCTCCGTCACGTGCCAACCCTGTGGATGCAAATCCCGCACTGAGCCTCAAGGCGAAAAAGGGGCTCTCCTACACTGTCTACGTCAGCGGCCTGGCAATGTGATTCTGATGAGTGGACAAAACTCCTTCAACTAAAAGTGCTGTACAACCTAATAAGCAAACTTTAGTTTGTGCTTTTTTGGAAATAGGGGGTAGGCCGAGGTAGTAGCTAGGGAGTCGCTAGTAGAAGCTAGGTAGCTAGTAGAAGCAAACGGTAGCTATATAGTAGCTAACAAGTAGCTACGAGCATGGAAGCAGGATAGCTCACGCTTGCACTAATGACTTGGTTTCTAGATTTTCTAAGGGAAACTTAACATTCCGCCCCGATGAGTGAGTCTCCCGCCTGAGGGAGGGGAGGGTGGTTGCGGTGAGAGTGTTCTCCTGAGCTCATCCGGAAAACACATGCAAGCACCCAAATCAGGCAGTCACACATTGTCACTCGGTGAAAGGTGGAAGGTGCTGCATCCAATTCTGAAAGTTTTCCAAGTGACAGGTTGTTGCATATTGAAGCTCTATGTTCGTAACATGCTATGATATCTTGAGTGCTGCAGTTGCAGGGTGGGAGAAGTGTGGGCGTCAACATCGGGAGGATATCTTCAGAATAGCACAAGTTTCTGCAGATTTATCGAGGTCTGTGAGCGAGACTTTCATGAAAGGATTCTGCCCAAGGTTGTCAGGTCATGGCAGGCCCAGACTTCCCAGGCCCTCTGTGCAAAAAGAGGCTTCAAAAGAAAGTCTCCCGAGACTCGTGCAGCAAAGTTTGATGCAGGGCCCCCGTTTGGGAGTCTCCCACAGGGCCGGATACATTTCGCTCACGGTTTAACCGCCGATTGAAAGCTCTCATAAGCACTCTGTCTTTGCATTGGAGTCCTTGTCCATGCTTTAAAGAAGCGCTTTCGAACCAGATCAAGCCAGGCGGGTTTAGCTGTCCTTAGGATTCCTTAATGTAAGGAAATGGTGCTGTCCTTTTCAGAGCGTGTAATCATTAATGATTATATATTTAATGTAAATTAATGAAATCTTTGATGTCCCCACATGGCAAGCATAATGAAGCTCAATTACTCTCAATTGTATTATTTCCGTGGCTGAGCAAAGCTGCTCAACTGTGGTCTTCCCATACCCCACCCTTTATGTTTATCAAGTGCCAGCACTTTCACCTGGGACCGATGACCTATGGCTATGACCTACCAATTTTCACGTCATCCGCACATGCGCGGAATAACTTGCTTGCAGGCTGCGAAGATGGTGACCGGTTTCTGCCCTTCTCAGCCTTCTCAGCCTTCTCAGCCTTCGTCTGATCCAGATCGGAGCTTTCATCGAGAGATTGCACACGCCACGGCCTGGAAACGGTTTTCTTGCATGAATCAGGCCAACGAACATCCCAGATCCCAACATGCACGTCCGGTGAGCAGAAAACTGGGGATGGGGCATTGTGCCGGACGTGCGCAGTGAGTTCTTCAAGATTCTTCAAGTAACCAATGCTGTTGTGAGTTGCTTGCGTGACGGCCACAGGCACGTCGCGTGGTTGTGCTTGGCCTGCTGTAGAGGTTGTGAAGCTACCTGACCCCTTTGGACTGAGGTGCTTGGTCTGCTTTGCACATACGTTGGCATCTTGAGCCTTTCAAGCTGTTTTATCACCAGTCCGTGAAGCAGTGAACCAACATCAAGCACAGCCATCACAAATGGCAAACAAGCAAAGTCTCTGTGGAGCAAACAGATGTCGATTCGGACCGCTCTGCCCCTGCGGAAAAACATTGCAATGGTCTTTAGACACTCCTCATTGGCTGTGCCTTTTCCGATCTCATACGCCATTCATGTCACCATTGTCTCAATCTCAACTTAGTTCTGTTTGGCAATGCAATATAACACCACGACTTGAAACTTGACAAAGGCCTCTACAGTCTGCTAGCCCACGCCTGGATCTACTGAAAGCTCCTCAACCTAAGGCCGTAGGCCACATTTGCATCATGTCAATCTTCTAAGCTGCTCTGAGTCAGAAAGCCGCTCCAGCAAAGATCTCCTTGATAACCATCAGCCTAAGTCAGCCCCAATGTCACTCATTGTCCTGAGGTATTCCCATCCATTCTTGTGGGCAAAAATACTCACACTATGCACATTGAGGATATGCGCACCGACTTTTTACCACTGCCGCCCGCAACTCCAAACAAATTACAGTAAACATTTATCAACTGTGACATTCAAACGAGTCAAGCCTAGTGGTTTTCTGCCACTTTCAGAAAGTGTTCTTGGGTCAGGATGTTTTAGAAAACACGTGATTGAAATGAAAAAATCGTGCGTCACAAGCCATTTTGAGGCAGAAGTGCCTAGCAAGAAAAAAATCGTCAAACAGCAGGCAACTACAGTAAATGTGAACAATCTGCCTTAGGTAGAATAAAATGCCTCGTGCCCTTCAAGGTTAATTGATTGGAAAATTTGGAAGAATTTGAGGTGCTTCACACTTCAATTTCCCGGTGGCCTGTGTCCTACCCTGAGTAGGATGAAGGGCCCACCTGGCAAGCATTGACATAGGCTGAAAAGCGGCAAAGTCACAGACTGTTGCCCAAAGTGCACGTGTTTGCTGCCAAGTCGGCCAGTGATTCAGGTCCCTGCCTTGGGGTAGTCGCCGTCTTTGCTGGTCTTGAATGCCAACTTTGAGGCCTGCAAAACACCAAGCACTGAAACCAGCTGGAACCTTGCTGCGTCTTGCCACAGCGAAAAACACAGACCGGCCGTGATGAGCTGGGCCATCCAAGGCTCTGATTCCTTCCTGGAACCATGTTGAAGCAACACAATTCAGCACATTCCATGCGTACCTTATATGTTAATATGTATTCAGCCCTATGCAAATATTTATATGCAAAGATAAGACTGCACCGCTTTCAATGTCAAAGGCAACTGACTAGTGATTCCACTCATGGATTTGGACACGACTGAAGACCCCCCCAACCAGGCGTACACGATATATGATATGTGCATATATATATATAAGCGGAAACGGATACTTCCTCATGCCCGTGTCCACAACCAGCCCACTGGACAGCACTCTGTCACCGGATCTTGATCCGCCTGACTGGCGTTGTTCTTTGAGCGTTCCGCTTGTTGGCGATAACATGAGCTCAAATTTGTGCTTTTGATTGCCGATCGGTCTGCCCACTTGTCACTTGTCCTGAAGCCTCCCTTCTGCTCGACAGTGGGGCGCCGGCCAATATGCGCAGCAAAAAAAGAGATCAGGCACGAATCACACAGCCTGGCCATATCCTTTCATATACTACTCCCACGGCCCAGCACCGCCCAGCACTCCTGGAAACCATCGCAGCAAGTTGGGCTCGAAGAGCACCAGATCGCTGGAGAAAGTTTTCGAGCCATGCATCCTGGCTGTGGCGTTGGTTGCCATGATCGAATTTCACTGTTAAAACTTCTTCCATGGAAAGCCATATTGCGGAGCATGCACAAGCCAACCAAAAGCTGCGCCTTCTTTTCTTTGAGCTGGGCCTCTCAAAGCCAGCACTTACAGTAATGCCATCACTTGTTGCCATGTGCGACCAAGTGCTGTGATCCAACTCCCAACTGTCCTGGCCTTAATTGCCTTCTCATCCTTTGCTATTGCTGCATCAAGCTTCATCATTGCTTCCACACTGCAGCCCTTGGGGAGGAAGATCGAATGATTCAAATGATTCATTCACAGGGGTTGGACTTTAAGGATTCTGCGAGGTCGGTATTTTTAGTGTTTGCCTTTCGGGGGACTTGGCCACCCTGCATCCTCCAAGCAGCTTTCGATTGCAGTGATGCAGCCCTCATCACACTCAAGGACCTTGAGGCAAACAAAGGCATGAAGCCTTGACGGCCAATCCGCCAACTAGTTTCGTCTTTGATTTGAGCCGCCAACTGGCACATCCCAAGTGCTTTCTTTGGAGCTGCTGCTTCCTTTGGCCGGCTTCTTGGCTGAGGCCTTGGTTGGCGCCTTGGTCGGTGCCTTTGCTGGCGCCTTGGCTGGAGCCTTGGCTGGAGGCTTGACTGGTGCTGGTGCCTTGCTTGCCTCAGCTGTTGCCTCAGCTGCCTCTACCTGTTCCACGGCTCAAGCTGCACCTGCTTCCAAAGCGGAACTGTTCCAGCCTCTGGACCCTTGGCTGTGCCCCCCCAAGAGGAAGTCGCGCAAATCCTCGAGAAGTGCAAGCAAGAAGCATCCAATCAAATCAGCTCATGCAATCCATAACGGGTACGCGGCAAGTGTGCAAATACTCAAATGCATATAGTCCTGGCTTTTGTCAACGTTTAGCTTGCCCGAGGCACCTTGCACCATCTCTTGTGCGCATTCTCCGCCATCAAGGTTCAGGTCTTTTGATAGTGAGCACAATTCCTTGCCGTGCCTCGAGGAAGCTTGCTCAGCGCCCGTCCTGGCAGCTTGTACTGCTTGAGCTACAAACGCCCCCTAAAAAGTTCTTCTCCTCGATGTGAAGGAAGTTGGACAAAGCTGCCTTTGTCAATGGTTGCTCTAGCAACATCGCTTTGTGCCTTTCTTTTGATAAGCCATTGATGTACCATTTAATGTCATCAAGGGTTATTCCCAGCATGGCCCAGCTAGACTATGATATACTGATATACTGAATGCATTGGCTTGGGCCCACTGCAGCCCTGTGGCCCCCTGCTGTGAAGATAGCAAGCCACGAGCATCACGAAGCCCAAACAGAACCTGAGTGCTGCAGAAATATTCAGACTATATATATATATATATATTTTTGTGGAACGCTTTAGAACTATATATGCTTCCCAGGAGCAGGTTTTTGCTACCAGGACGTCCAAGAGCCATGGGGCCTCAGCAGTGTGCTCGAAAGGAGCACACCGAAGTTAAACACCTAGCAACATTCGATGGGGTTTCATACTCTTGTGCTACACGAAGGAGCAGCCTGCTCGGGAAGCTCACACCAACTACCCTTCTTTTTGAGGCAAAGGACTGCGGGAGTTCACATGCAAAATGTGTTGTCAGTCGCTGGCTACAAATGCTGCATAGGGCCTCCAACAGCCAAACGCTACGTGCCGAGCTCGTTCTCCTGCCGATCCGGCAGGCCTGCCACAGAGCTGTCCCCTGGACAGAAGCGTGGTGGCACCTTGCACCAGTTTGGTCAAAAGCGGCGTTGGTCTTGTTACTAGTAGTAAGAATGCTCCTAGTAGCGATGCCAGGAGCCCCTAGTAGCGTCCTTGCTCTTAGTAAGGCCAGGAGCCCCTAGTAACCCTAGTAGCTTCTTGTTAATGCAAAACATCGGGCATCTTCACCTGGAAAGGCGGTGGTTCCCAGCTGGATCGAGGTGCCTGAACCAAGACCGGGGCACATCAGCGGCGACGGAAGCGGCCTACTGACCGCTTGCAGCGCTTGGTTGTGGCAGGTCAGCCTTAACCAGCTGAGCTTGTGGCCTTTTTTGCCTTTGAATCTTGTCCTTGTCCTTTTGAGTCCTTTTTGTTCTTGTCATTCTTCTCCGTCTTCTCCTTTTGCTTCGAATCTTGCTTTGCCTCGCTCCCAAGCAAATACATTGCGGAGTTTGGTCCTACACTGTCCTACACTTCTCCTGGCTGCGGGTTTGCATTACGTCCATTTCAATTCGTTCATGTTCCTTCTCAGGGCACCGACATCGGGAGCATCATCCACTTCCATCCGTTACGGACTTGGTTCTGACCTCAGCATTTGGGTCATCAATTCACAACACACGGTGGTCATCTGGGCTCGTGGCCATGGCACCCACCCGTATCTCCATGAATCGTCACTGCATGTCACTAGATCTCCCACTGTTTCCGGTCACTGCACTTGTGCCCTGCAGTCCTAGTCTGTCTGGGTCTCAGCTATGGCCTCACTTCAGTAGGATTGTGGTCTGTGAGTCTGGATGTGCAAGCGTGCTTCCCTCCACACTTGATTAACTTTCCCATCTACGGTAATCATACCTCTAAGCCGAAATCCGGCTGCAAGATTAGACTCGACCCCAAGATAGGTGGAAACAAGAATGAATCCATAAAGGCAAGGAGCTAGGAGAGGCTCAATCCTAAGCAGTGATTGCCGCTGCATAAGCAAGAGTGGTGCCAACAAGATTGGCTTGGTGAGCATGAATCAACAAAGCACCGGAAAAAGATCAGCTGACAAACAATGCCAAACTTTAGCATCGGCTTGACCTTCCAATGAACTCTCAGCCTACAAGCCACCGTTTTCGGTGAGGGTGCAAACGTAGCCTGGCCGTGCCATCCCTCACAAACTCTCGCTTACAAGCGTGTTGAGTCCTCGACTTGGTTCACTCTTCGACCATGCTTGATGTATGCCAGGGCTGGCGCAGCCGATTATTGTGCAACATTGTGCATTTATAGCTTCCAACAAGCTGCTGGCCGGTGGCCTCATTGAAAGCATGTTGTGTGCATGACGACGGCCCGCAAGAAGTACTGTACAAAGCCACTGATCTACGTGGAATGCT